CAAATTAAAAGACAAATTGATGCCTCTTGTATCCTCTACCACAAAGAAGGAAGCACAGCACCTGGAAGGCCTCTTTGGGTTCTGAAGACCACACTGTCCACACTTAGGAATTCTTCTCTGATGACACAGAAAGTTGCCAGCTTTGAGAGAGGCCTAGAGCAGAAGAGGGCTCTACAAGAGATCCAAGCTCCTAAGCAAATAGTCTATCATTTGGGTCATATGATCCAGCAGACTCTATCGTGTTGAAAAGTGTCAGTGGTGGGTAAAGATGTAATACAGAGCTCACTGTAAGCCCCAGTGAAAGAATCACAAAGCAGGACACTGGGATTCTGGAGCAAAGCCATGCGAACTGCAACAGAGAATTATATACCTTTTGAGAAACAGCTCCTCACATATGACTGGGCCTTGGTTTAGATGAAATGCTAGACCATGAACCTCAAGTGCCAGTACATCAAGAACTTCCCATTATGAACTGGGTTCATGTCAGACCTGCCAAGTCATAAAGTCAGGTGCAGGTAGCAGAAGTCCATTATTAAGATGAAAATGGTAACTGAGCTTGGTTTGCTGATGCATCAGTTTGGTATGTGGGTGGAAGCCAAAAATGGACAGTGGATGCATGGCAGTCATGTTCCAGTGCTGCCTTGGAAGACAGCAGGAAGCAAGGGAAAGCCAGGGAAAATCTTCCCAATGAGCAGAGCAGTAAGTGGTCACCTGGTTATGGGAGGAAAGCTATACACAAGAGAATAAATACATTCCTGGGCAGTGGCTGGCTGATGGTCTAGCCTGGCTAGTCAGAGGACTGGAAAGCAAAAGTCTGGAAGATTAGGGACAAGACAGTCTAGGGTAGAGGCATATGGGTGGACATTTTAGGCACAAAGAAGATTTTTTTTGTATCACACATTAGCAACATCCAGGGAGCATTCACCACAAAAGAGAACTGAACAACCAAGAAATTAAATGACTCAGGCACTTCATCATTGGCCATCCTGGATAGGCACCTGAATGGAGTTGATCATAGTGGCAGAGATGGAGGCTACACATAGGCCCAGCAGCATGGACATCCACATACCAAAGCTAATCTAGCTATTGCCACCCCTGAATGTCCAATCTGCCAGCAAAAGAGGCCAGTGCTGAGCCCCAGATGTGGCACTATTCCTTGAGGAGTTCAACCAGCCACTGGGTGGCAAATCAACTATATCAGGCCTCTTCCATCCTGAGAGGGCCAGCAATTCATCCTCACAGGGATAGAGATCTATTCTGGGATTAGGTTTGCCTTTTCTTTCCACGGAACCTCAGCCAGCACCAATCTCCAAAAGCTTAGAGTGTACCTGATCCTCAGGTATGGAACCCCACCCAGTACAGCATCCAGCTAGCATACCCACTTCACAGGGAAGGAAGTTAGGGAATGGGCCCATGATATTAGGGTCCACTGGGTATATGTACATACACTGCACCATCCAGAAGCTGCCAACCTCAAAGAGCACTGTAATGGCCTACAGAAGGCACAACTGAAGCACTAACTTCAATAATTTGAGGCAGTAATGTGCAAGGCTAGAGGGTCATCCTTCAGGATCCAGTACGTTCGTTAAATCAGGGACTTGTATGTGGTGCTATGTCTGTAAGGAAGAATACATGGGTCCCAGAACCAAGGGTCAGAAGCAGGAGTGGTGACATTTACAATCACTTCCAAAGACCCACTGAGGGACACTGTGCTTCCTGTTCCTTTAGCTCTGGGTTCTGTAGGGTTGGAAGTACTGGTCCCAAAGGGGGAACACTTTTGCCAGGGGACAGAGAATTACATTCTATAGATCTCAGTGCATTGAACTACAAGCTCCAGTTGTCACCAAAATACTTTGGACTCCTTGTGCCTGAGGACCAGCAGACAAGAGTCACCATCTTAGCAGAGATAATTGAGCCTAAACAGCAGGAGGTGGCAGGGTTGCTTTTATACATCAGAGATGAGTAAAAGACATGTGAAACCCATTTTCTCACAGAAATAGCTGATTCTAAGTTTAGGACAGAAAATGTACAAGATGAGCCTGGGGCATCTCGAAATACCAGAAAGCAAGCACCAGGGTTATATCAAACAACTCAGGACCAACTTGAAGAGGCTCCCAACAACCAAGATGGAACAATAATAATAATTGCAATAGAATAAAACCTATCAAAATACATTTAAACCCCTGAGTTCATCATATTTTTTAAAAATAGCCACTTTCTGAGGATAAGAGGGAACTTGTGCTATTCATTATCTTAAGCTGAGAATTAGAATTAGTTAAGAAAAGAATTAAGCACTTATCCCGCCTTTCCTATACAAACTCTATTGAGAAATCAAATAGATGAGGGGCGGCATCTCCTTATAAAATTATTCCATCTAATGAATGAAAACAAAATGATAGATTAGAATATCTCCATGTTGCAACACCTCCCCTCTCCCTGAGTGAATTACTTACAGGACGTAGGCATTGAGCATCAATGGCTACTAACATCAAAAAAAAGTAAACATCACACGTGATGTGCCTCCTGATAAATGAGCACACCACCACCTAGAGTCTCATCAAAGGGTTCAAAGCCAAGGCAAATCAGGTCTCTGGATCTAGCCACTGATTTGCAGGAACGCAAAGGATGAAGGAGCACAGTGAACTGCATCACCAGCATAAAATTAGCAAAATCTAGACTGTGGAAAACTATAGCTCAAATGGCCCAGGTTCTTCAACAGACTACCTGTTTAAGGAAAAGAAAGGGATAGAGTGGACCCTTTAGATAAAAAAACTTAAAAGTTGTATCGTTAAGAAAAAAAGTGAGACTAAAAACTAGAGTGTGTAGGGATGCACACTTGGATGATAAAACAATAAAGAAACTCAAGTAAATGATCATTACTAAGGTCAAGAAGTTAGAAGGAGGGAAGTAGCTGGGATGTGGATGGGAGATAGGGGAACGGAGGAGTTCTGGGGAGACCGGTAAAGCTCTATTCTTGACCTGAGTGGTGCTCCCCTCTGTCTCAGACTCGTCTCTAGCACTAGACTTCTGTAAGCTTTGCTATCTGGCAGGCCCCTTCGCATCGTCATGCCTTTGTGTCCACTCTTCTGACATTCCTCCACCTTAAGCAGAACCATCATGGCCAATACCTCCCCTGGTGTCATACTCCCCCACAGCACTTGCCTGAGGTCTTTGAGGACAGGGGTCTGAATCTCAATCAGGAACCAGGACAAGGTTTGATACAATAGGGTAATCACCACCACCACCACCATTTATCAAACACTTTAGAATAAACCTGACCCTACTGCAGATATATATGTAGAGTTATTTAGTCCTTACAACAACCCTACGACATAGGCACTATTACCAGTCCCATTTTATAGATGAGTAAACTGAGGTTAGGGAAAGTTATGTAGTTCGCTCTAGGTCACAACAGGCAGAGCAAGGATTCAACCTAAGGACTTCGACTTAAGTCTGTGATCTTAACCACTGCCGATGAATTCATTTATTCCACAGACACTTATTGAGTACCTACCATGTGCCAGTTACTACTTAGTGAAAAAAGTGGACCATGTCCCTCCCTCCCTTATAAAACATGTATTTAGAATTAGTAAATAATGAGTTTAACAGCTGTAGGAAGGCAAATAAAGCACAGTAAGGGGATAAAAAGTAACTGACCTGTTGGTATTTGAGAGTAGTCAGGGTGGAAATGATGACATCTGAGCACAGTAGTCATAAATGGAAAAGCCACAAGCTTGGAATGACACAGTCCTGGTAACTATGAGATAGGTGTAGCCTTGGACAAATGATTAAACTCTGAGCTTTGCTTTCCTCACCTGTAAACCAGGGATAATCTAAAATTGCCTTGTAGAGTTGTGAGGAAAACGGAGAGGTGTGTGCATGGCACAGCTTAAGGGAATCTCTGGCCTAGGCCCACAACGTGTATACAGTGAGGTCCATCCTGCCTTTCTTACTCAGCCAAGAATTCCCCTTCCTGCTCCAGAGGTGCTGCCCACCTCTCCTCCATTTCCAAAATAACCGGACTCCCCAGGTAGACAGCTGGAGCTCAGTCCACTTACACCCCCTGCCGGCAGGATATTGCACTGCGACTGTTCAAGTCTCCAGTCCCTTTCGTCATCTTTTCAAAAAGCCTTATCTTGGCACTTACCACCTGCTAGACACCAGGATGGGAAAGAACAAGGCACTCTCTCTGCCCTCTAGGAGCTCACAGCCTAGGAAGTGGGCCTAACATGAATGTGGACAATGACAATCAAGGGAATAAGTGCCAACCAACAACTAAGAAACTATAAGAGCGCAATGAGAGAATGATTAACTGTGTCCAGCAGAGATTAGGGAAGGCTTTATAGTAGTAAATCGTGGACAATGAAAAAAAGGAAGTGGGCACGAGGGGAGGGATTCCAAGCAGAGGGAACAATTCATGCAAAATCAAGGAAACACAAAAGACATTGACTGGTTTGAGGTGTTCTACCTGACCATGCTACACTTCTAGAGCTGCCAAAGCAGCTTGGTTGAAGAATAAAACCCAAGGAAGCTGGTTTCCAGGACTCTCATAAAGCTCTATTACCTGTTATCTTAGGAAAAGGAAACCCATCTTAAGAAAGAGCTTTTTTTTCCTGAGGGCAGACAGGACCTCACGTGTCTACACCCGGTCTTCCTTACCGTTCAAGAAATGGCCCATCCTGTGTCAGTCAAGTGACAATCTTTGCAACCTTAGACACGTCTTTTCCCCTGTGTGTCTCAGCCTCCTCCTCTGTAGAGTAGGAAAATAACCCTTGTTTGCATCTCTCTCAAATAACCATTTAAGTTAACAACTATGAAAGCTCCTGGAGCGGCAGCAGGAAGGACCCAGGAGATGTCAGGCCCACAGGGGCATCCTGGGTAGTCCACAGCCCAGAGCCAGCCGGGGGAGGAGAGAGCAACAATGCTGCCGCCGGGTCCTCTCACACACAGATCACGCTGCAACCTCCGCCACCCCCATAAAAATCAGGGAACCGTGCAGGTTTGTTTCAGGTGTTTTATTAAGTGGGCCATACTGTAGCTGGTTTCTAAGTTGCAAAACAACATAAATTTAACAATAATAACATAGCCAGTTAGACTGTGACAAGCTTTTCCTTTTCTTAAAAAAAGAAAAAATAAAAAGAAAGACTTAAAACACACAATGAGAGTTAAATAAATAATATGGAGAGAAAAAAAAAAAGGAAAATCTGTTAAAACATGCTTATGTTTACTTCTGTGCAACTGCGTGCCAAGAGGAAACGTGATTTTCTGCACGATGATACATCTCAGCATGTCTTCTTCCCAAATAATACTGACACAAAAAGAAAAGATGTGGGACTGACTCATCGGTGCTTGTAGAGGCACTACTAAAAATCCCTTTGATTGGAGCTTGGGGCTTCCCGCCCAGCACACCTATGTGTGGCCCAGGAAAGCCAAATATCCGTAATAATGTTAATATAGAAAACATCAGTTTAAAAACAATGTGGAATGGCCTTATTAACGCAGTGGGGCAAGAAAGTAGAACTGCCCTGCATGCGGTGCCAGGCTCAGTCCAGGGAGGCCGCAGGCTCCCAGCACGCGGCCATGGCGAGGGAGGGCACCAGCTTCAAAATAAGCGGCACCAACCTCGTCTCCCTCTCCCTATCACTCTTTCACATGAAAGTGTGTAAAAAGCAAATCGGCAAATAAACTCTAAAATAGATTATTTATTCCAAAAATCCTCTAGTTTTCTTTTTACAGTGAGTGTACATTTCCTCTCCATCTCCTGCACAACCTGCTTAAGTCCCTTGGGGAAGAGGGTCAGAGCTGCAGGGTGAGTCTTTCTCGGTCCTATTGCTAGCTGGTGCTGGGAGGTCAGATGTCGATGCCCTTGACAAGGGATGTCTCCAGCGTGATGTTGAACTCCTGCAATGTCTGCAGCACGCGGATCAAGGAATTGACAAGTGTGTGGTCTTTGATCAGTGCCACATCCTCATACATGTGTGCGGTGATGGGGCAGTCGGCCAGCAAGGCAATCCAGTGGTGCAGGAGGTGATCTCTGGTGGGCAAGATCAGTCCAAATGGGTCAGAAGGGAAAGGAAGGGAGATGGTTAGTTCAAGACCAAAGGGAAACCTGCTCCACCACTCCTTAAACGAAGTCTGAAGCTGGAGAAGCAAATAGCTCCCCATAACAGCTTTTCATCCTGTAACAGGGCTTGGCAAAGAAGCCCTACACAGCTTTAAAAGGCTCCCACTGAGGGCTGCCCAGCCCTAAGACACCAACCCAATCTGACCCAAATCAGCCCTGTCATCTGACGTCAGGCCTGCTCCTCCTTTCCTACTGCCCCCTCCCTCCCTACATAACCCTACCACCAACCAGATACCAGGACCAGGCAGCACCACTTCCTCCATCTCAACAGCCAATCTCTAGCCAATAGCCAATCACTCCTCCCCATAGCTACCACCATCAGGAACAATACTAAGAGCTAACATCCACATAGTGCTTAGCATGTAGCAGGCACTGTTACAAGAGATTTAACCGTCATGGTAACTCTATGATACGAGGTAGGTGCTATTAGTGCTATTATTATCTCCACTTTATAGATGAAGAAATTGAGTAGCTTGTCCAAGATCACACAGCTAGTAAGTGGGTGATCTGAAAATGTGAACTTAATGAATCTGGTTCCAGAGACTATTTATAACTACTACAACCAATTCCCTCTCTTCTGTGGCCTGAACAAATTCAGCCTTAAGTTTATTTGGGCCTCCTGCTCTCATCTGACCTACTCGAATAACCCCTAACAATCTTGCCCACTCTGATGCATATCATCCAGGATATCAAATTAATATAATTTCAGTCCCCTGATTAAACAAATCTATATTAGTAAGAAAGGATTCTGTCCCAGCTCAAGGCTCACCCTTATAGCCTACTCCCTGAAGCCTTCTCTGATCTTTCTCCTCTACATTTTTAGCATACCTTATGAATGTGTACTTCTTTTTTGGACTTTCACAACCTTCTGCCTTGTACTGTTTTTAATTGGGACAAGTGAACTTCTACATGGTAGGGGCCATGTTTGATTTAGCTCTATTCTCACCCCTTTCCACAAGGCCTGGCACAATCAAATGTTTGTTGAAGGAATGACTAGATATATTCTCTTTCGAATTTCACCAGTGGGGTGGTTTTATTCCTTCCCATCAAAATGTGGCCCCTTCTCCCCAGTTACACACACACTCTTATCTCCACCCCTACGGATTCCCACCCATATATATGGTACATGAAGGAAATTAAGGGCCTCTAGAAAGCCCTCCAAGGCCTCGCCTGCCCAAGGACGCCTGGTATTAGCCAGTCCCCCATCCCCTGCACCACATGAGGATTCCAGCACCACCTCCAACGCTGGCTACTATGTACTGTGGGCTGTAAGGCTGAAGTACCTTGCTCCCAAGCACACCAGCATCTGAAACTTGCCATCCTTGCCAATGTTCCGGGGAGTATTGTTGATTGCAGTGACAAATCGGCAGAAATTCCGAGCCCTTGTATGCCAGTTTTCTTCAGGAACAACTTCATTCTGCTCCAAAGTTTCATAATACGTTTGTGCTTTTTCTGTGAAGAGATAAGCTTGCCAGTGACAAAGGCTTTCGAAACCGACCTATCCCTGACTGTCCTGCAGGCCACTTGCCATGGACCTCCCCATTGCTGATGCAGGTAACTTAATGAGAATAACCTGAGTGTTCTAACATCACTGGTGACATTTCAAAATGATCCTTATGTTCCTTATCTTTATTTTTAAAAGTTATTTATGTGGCCCTGATATAAAGCTGATCCCTTCCCTAAAGACAAAAAACTCTTGAGGAATAAGTTCCTTACATGAAAATTCTCCAAGTGGATACAACACAGGGCTTGGGCTCCAATGCTATCAACTAGCCCTCTGGATCTACAAGGACAAAGTGTGAGGTCTCACAACTAAGGCTATACTATAAAACAGATGCCTAAAAAGAATCTTTTCTGTCCAGTTCTCAGGAGGTGAGGGGTGAAGGGTGAGAAAAGGCAGGGCAAACAAACAATTGCTCTAATCTGAGTCACCTGATTTGGCTTCTTTACTGCAGACCCCAATGGTTGCACCCACGTATATGGTGAGTCCCAATGTCTCTGCATGCTTTTCCCACCCTCATACCCTAGTCCAACTCACCCAGGAAATCCCAAATGAAGACATTTTTGAAGAGACGGGGTGATTTAAATCCATGCTGGAAAGCCTGTTCCAGGGCCGAGACAAGGCCGCACTCTCCACAAAGCAACAGTGTCAGACTGCCTCGCTAGTGAAGAAATGGGGGAGAGTGACAGGCTTGCCTCAGCCAAGCTGCCCTCCCACCACGGCATCCCCAAATCCAAAGCCCACAGCTGGGAAGGAAGCAAAGGACAGGCAGAGACCCAGTCTATTTCCCTAGCACCTGGCACAGTGCCTACCTCAGAACAGCTCTCAGAGTGAACACTTGCTAAATGAATGGATGAATGAAAAGATGATGGATCTGGGTACCCACCAGGGGGACAAATCCAGTGTGGCCATTATTCAGGGAGACCTAGAAAAATCCTGAAGAGGACAGGAACACACAATATTCACAAGGGGCCTAGGAACTCTGTTGGGTCATTGGTGTGTAAGAAAAATAGGGTAACCCAAGGCAGAGGCCCCCAAAGGAAAGAATCTGCTCGATCTCAAACTAACTGAGGCACATACTGTACACTCCGGGCTGTCCAAGCAAATGGGCCTGGAATATTATTTTCTCTTATTCAATATAAGGCCCTGGGTTGAAGGGCAGAAAGGCTCACCTCTTTCTCCGGCTTATGGAAGTGCTTCACGATGCCATTGACTGCCTCTCCAATGGACTCCTGGATCTGCCCAGTGTTCAGCTCTGATAAAAATCAAGCAGACATCCCTAACCAATCTCAGAAGCTAACAGTGCTCAGCTGACTGAGCAGGAGACTGAGGACATTGGGAGGGCTCATGAGAGAGGCAGGACAGCCTGGACCCTTCCTGAGAAGAATGGCTCTCACCTACCCAACTTCACTGAGCTAGCTCTTCCTAAAATCCTGGGAAAAAAGCAAAAGCCAATACCTTAGTTCCATAAAGTTTATTTTTTCATTTTACCCTAGAATTGTTGGCAACCAAAAAAGGGACAAGATTTGGCTGTGAAGCTCAGGAACCACAAAAGAGAAGACCAGAAGGTAGAACCCTCTCCTCTCTAGGATCATATACAAATAGTATAGAGAACCCAGTCCGGGCTCCATGAGCTCTCTCCTCTCCTTCCAAGCCTCTGGGGAGAGTGCCAAATCTCCCGAGGATTCATGAGAAGAAGGTGACAAAGGCCTGAGACTGCTTTGTCAGTAGAGGTGGCTCCTGAGGCAGCTGCATAGGCTGAGGTTTGGGCTAAAATATCAAGGCTCCCAGGGATCTGCCCACATTTCCCAGGATGGGTAGTATGAGGACCCAGCCCCTCCTCTCACTTACTGGGCTTGTTGTTGGGTGAGATGGTAACAAGCCTCCGGATGACGCTGGGGGACTGCTGCAAGGGTGGGGTCCGGCATGGCCTCTCATCCACCTCAGGCTGGGATGTGAGCAGCTCCCCAACTAGGACCCGCTCCAGGCTCCCATCGTCCATGCCCTTCCCCAACCACCGGCCACATGGGAACCTAAAAGTCAGGCAATGGCCTGTCAGAGCTGCCAGCTTCTCCAGTGTCTTTCCCATTGCTGCTCAGCAAGAGCCATCAACAAAGCCAATGCCTGGGAATCCATCAAGGCCCCGCTCATCCATCCTACTGTGTATTTCATCAGGGAAGACACCTGAGTGATGGATGGCCTGGAACCTATGCACAGCAATGTTACACATCTTCACTTGGAAAATCCTCCTATTTTTTTTCAGGTACACAAGGCAGAGCCAAACAGGAAGTTGCCTTGGCCTATCACAACCTAAAGAGTCTCCTTGAGAACTCCATATACCCAAGCATCAAACAAAGACCCCAGTGGTAATCTTGCCCCACTATCTTAGAGCAAACCTGAAGGAACACTTACTTGTAGGTATGTCCTGTGATCTCATTCCTGACCATCACATACTCCACCAGCCATTTGGCATACAGCCCAGAATTATCATGGCCTATCTGCACAGTAGTGAGCTTCCCCAAGTTCTGGCACTGTGAGAGAATAGCCAAATAGAGAAGATGGAGTAGGTCAGAAAAACAGAAGAGAGTAGCATTCCTCAGAGGCACAGATCTGACTGGCTGCCTACAACCTGGCCTCTGAGCATCCACAGGGACAGAGCTCATGGCTCTACCCACCAGCAAAGCTAGCAGTACAGCACTATCCCATAGGGGGCCCATGGCTGAGAAAGAAGATGCTGCTATCTAGAGGGAGAATAGGGCCTGGGAGCAGGCAGCTCTGGAAGTGGGGCAGCAGTCTGAGGTTCAGAGGTATCTGTGAACACCTGGGATCAGCAGCTGAAAGAACTCTTGGGTATTTCTCAACACACCATGAACAGGGAGGTATGCAAGTTCAGATGGGTAAGCACCTTCCAGCCAGAGACCATTTAGACAGGAAAGGCTTCTCCCTCCTCGAGTCAACCCTTCACTCCAGGCCTCCAACCATCTCAGCATAGGTGAGCTATGCTGATGCATAACACTGTACAGAGCAAGGCCTCCATAAAACCCTGCAGAAAGCTCCAGAAAAGCAGCTGTTGCAAACTCAGATCCCCACAAAGCCTGGGGTTGTGGTCCCCGGATAACACATACCTCAAAGGTCATCTCTAACACGTTCCTGGGAATCTGCAGGATCTGTGTCTCACCCAACTCTCCCGAGATGCAGATCCATGGGTTGGCAGTGAACATGGAGCCCCCCAGCTTCTTGCTCGGTACAATCAGGATGTGGTAGGGGATCACTGTTTAGGGGAAGCCACAAAGGCATTGAGGGGGATCAGAAATCCCTCCCATACCTGAAAGGGCCCTGATCTGCCCCCAGGCATGCTGGCATGATTGTGGCCGCTGCTGTACCGGCCCTGGCAGAGCCCAGAGCAGCAGGTCCCCAGGACCTAGGCTCTTGTTGGCTCAGAATGTCAGCCAATCCTCCCCTCACTCTCACTCCTCCCACGGTTACCACCCAAACATCAAAGATCCAAGTCCATATACACACTCGGAAATAAGTGAACCTCAAATAGTACAGCCAATTCAACATTGTACTAAATTGCTTTTCAGAGCACTTTTCATTCCATCACCTCATGAATGCTCATAACAATCTCAGGAGAGGCCACGCAGGTATTGCAATGCCTTTTCTGAGGCACAGAGAGAGAAATAATTTCCCTCAGGTCCTCTAAACTGTAGTTCAATGTTACTCCTACTGAAGCCTACAGGCCTTGTCTCTGAGGGGGAGGATGGGTATCCTAGAAAAAGAAGAGTCCAAGCCCCCTGAGACTATTGAGCCACTGGCCAAACAACTAGCTATGGGGCACATTCAAAGGTGGCCCCCACTCAACAGAGTGTCCTGGCACCAAAGAAAGATGAGGTTCCAGGGGCCTTCCTTAGACCATACTGAATCTTCTTCCTCATTCTGCAAATAGGAAGGCTGAGGCCCACAGCAAGAGTAGACTTCTCACAAATCATAACGAGTTAGGACACTGCAGGACCTGGACCCAAACCTCCCATTGTCTTCTGGAGTTCTTTCTGCTACTTCAGGAAGAGCTGTTTTTCCCTATGGGCTGATCTAAAACCTTCTGTGAAGATTTCTTTACTGGTGTGCAGAGAGGGCAGTGAACTTCACTGCCCCACCCCACTCCACCTCATTGCCTTAGGCTCCCAGAGCAGTGCCTAGGACAACAGTGACAACACGATGGCCGAAATGACTAAGCTCCCAGTTCAGAATGAGAATAAGAAGTTTCAGAGAAAAAAAACAACCTCCAAGGAGGGCAAGTGCACCTCTCTCCCCACAGAAATAAAAGGAAAATAGAAAGTGCAAGTGATAATCTATTTTCTTTAAAATGGAGACAGGGAGTTAGCCTCAGGCAGGCTCGTGAAGACTGAAACCAAGAAGGCTAGTGGGGAGCACAAGCCTACTCACGGATAGTTGTGAAGACATTGGTGAAGCAAAAGTAATCGACGGCATTGAAAGAAAGGAGGTGATAGAGGAACTGCTCCTTCTCGTCGTCACAGCACAGGAAGGCATAGCGCTTGTACAGCTTTCTGTCAGAGAAGAGGCAATACATCAGTCTCCTGGACAAAAGGAGGGGAAAGAGGCTAGAATTATTCAGTTCTGAATGGAGACAGTGGAACGAAGAATAAGATGGCAAGCCTCAAATTCTTTAGGGCCACCTGAAAAAGAAACAAAGCCAGCTACTCTGAGGGCTAGAGGGAAAGTGGCTTAAGCTATAGCAGGAATAACAGTACGTGTGTCCAAGGGTTGATGTTACTATAATGTAAAGTATCAGAAGTCATGGACTCTCTATTCTTAAACTGAGGACTGGAATGAAATTCCCTCAAGGAAGACACAGGCCCTCTCAGGCTTCTAGTTAGGGCAACACCCCAGTGTGTGGTGTGGGAGGAGCAATGGCAGGAGGTCTGTGATCACCATTCATACCCAGGGCTAGTATCAGACCCTCAGCAGACCTGAAACCCATAAGTCAGAACACTGCTCTAAATGTGAAGGTAAGCCCAGGACTACCTCAAAGGCAATAAAGAGCAATAAAGGAAATGATCCAGGTCATAGGAAAGGAAGAGCTACAGAGATCATGTCCTTCCTCTCTTTTCAAATTTTCTCCTGTCCCCACCTCTCGTCCCCACTGCTTACTCATCAAAGACCAACTTCTTTGCCTGACATTGCAGGCCATCTGCAACTGCACAGCAATGATACCTTCCCCAAGTACAGGGGACACAGAGAGCCAAATGCACAGGTCTTCAACACAGAGAACAAAAAAGGTAACTATCCTGGTCACCAAGAAAGACTCATCACCACAGCCAGCACATGTGACTCAGCACGTCTGTGAGGTTCTATCTAGTCAGGTTTGTTTATAAAGTACTTTCAACAGATGATTCACCAACCATGGCCTACTATGTGCAGGTGCTGCAAAGGGAAGCACCTATCCTCAAATACCGTCTAAATGAATAAATCAGGTAAACTCCACATAATGAGTTGCTAAATGAAAGGCTCTCTGGGAATTTAAAGAGCCATAAGCATCGATGGTCCTAAACAATAGAGCCCTGAAGGACAGCACAAATTTAGACCGGTGTGTGGAAGAAGGAACAGGACAGGGTATGAAAACCAATTTGACTGGCGTTGACGGCTCAGGGAAGTAATCAGTAATGAGGCTAAAAAGTTAGGCTAGAGTCAAATGCAGGAAGGCCTGCAATATTCAGGCTAAAGAGTTTGCAGTTTGCCCTACAAATAATAGGTTTCTGCAATCTGCCCTAGATAAAGGGAAAGCCACAACCAACTTCGGGAATTTTAAATTTGGTGCTGCTGAGGGGTGAAAGGGGGAATGAGGGTGAAACTCAGCAACAATAAAGGAGACAGGTGGGGGCAGAGGCTAAGGACCTGAAATGTGTACGTGGGAGATAAAGTGGAGTCAAACTCACTCCAAATTTTGAACCTAGCTAGGGAGTAGAGGGGATGTTCAGAGAGAATAATGGTGACATGAACAAAAAATTTGAGAGAAAGGTAGTTATGATGAAGACTGTGAAGCTTGCTTTTGTTCTTTCTGATTTAAAAGTAGGATAGTTGAATGGAAATAAATGCAGAACTGGAGCTCAGAAGAAACGTCAGAGCTAAAGCTTCAGATGTGGGAGTCACCTGCTTAGAGGTGACAGAAGTCATGAGAATGAGTGAGATCACTAATTGAGAGAGCAAGTGAGCAGGTGAGAGTGTGAAAAGAATGTGTGTGCATGCAGAGAACTGAGGACTGTGGAAGCCAATATCATGGGAAGAGTAAGGGGAAAAAGAGAAAAGGATGGTATAGGGCCATGGCAGCCATGCAAAGTGAGCTTCAAAGTAAAGGGAGCATTACACAGTGTTAGTCACTGTAGAGAGATTAGGGAAAAAGTTTGAGGTCACTATATAGGAGCCAACTAACTTCTTCCCTTAGAACATAGGGCCACTTTACCCTTCCCACCACCTTACCCTATCTCCAAGCTGCCAACAGTCTTGGAGGCGAACTGGAAATCCCAGACTCAGGCATATTCTATCAAGATATACTCTCCAAGGCTGTGTACCTCCTCCTGCCTGTGTAACCATGCACACATTTTATGTGCACAATTAAATATCTACTAGGTGCTAGGCAACATGATCTGTATTGAGAAAGGTACCCAGTCCATGCCGTCGACGAAAGCAAATTTTAATAAGCAGTATGAAACTAGATAATGATAATACAGCCAAATTAGTGGTAAAATAGTGATGAACAAATATGTAACAAAGGCTATGGGTACCTGGCAAAGGAATGGAGCAAGTCTCTAGGGAGTCTAAGCAAACTTTGGCAAAGAAAACTTCTGACTAAGCCCTGAAAGCGCTGAAGACATCCTTAGAAGGGTGAGGGGTATGATGCAGCTGGAACTTGAAACAAATTGAAGAAAAAGATGAGAGAGAGAAGGATGGAGGAATGGGTTTTGATAAAGGGCCCCTTTATTTCTATGCCCCATCCAAAATGCAATCTGTGGTAGCAAAACTCACCTCATTTTCCACTCAGAGAAGTACAGAAGTCAGATTATCAGGTGAGAAGTTACTATATACTGAGTAAATTCTGAGCTTATCTCCTCTAACAGGACTATAGTTTAAAGAAAGCAAGATTAGCCTCCTCATTGAGATCTGCACCCTGTTTGTTGTCGCCCAGGACTTGAAGCTCATATACCCTAGACCTATCCACTGTCTTGGACTTCACAAAGTTCTTGTGCTTGAGTATCCATTAGGTGCCTCTCTGGCCTCCTGCTGACTTGCAGTCTTACCTGACAGGTGAGGCCCACACTGGCCAGCAGGAAACACTCCTGCCCTGTCAGGCCCTGGTGCCCACACAGCTACAGTAACAGAATTTTTTCACCACACACAACTGTCCTCGAGAATCTGGTGTGCAAAAGTCTCCCTTCCAAACTCCAGGCTTACATGTTCACTTGTTTTCTTTCAGTTGTCCTCCCAATCTTCAAATTTTACTCCTCAACCTTTTTGTCCCTATAGGGAATCAAATTTAAGCACTTATTGTTATTTCATAACCTCTCAAGGTAAGCTCTCTAACCTACCAGGATTTTAAACCTGCTTTCTTGCTGTGGTCTATACACACAATAAACAGTCTAAAAATCATATTTCCATTGTGAATAAAAACAGATTCTGCAAGTTTAATCAACTGGCTCACACAAAATTTCCTCAAGGTCCATAGGGAAGTCCCATAATAAAGGAAACCAAGAAAAGATGCCTAAGGAAATGCTAAATAAAAATGCCCAACAATTGTTTGCCAATGTAGAAAGAGCCAAATTACAGGAAAAGACAGAGACATGGTAGTCTGAGGCAGAGATGACCCCATCTCTACAGCCCTCCCTACTCCTCCTCCTCTAGTAGCTAGGGTACAGAAAAAATGCAAGGGATATAACATCAAGAGAAGGTAACTGTAGATTTAGTGGTTTCTGGGAGTGTGAGGCTTTGGAATCTCTCCCCTTCCCCTTTCTGGGTGAAAACTGTGGATGTAGAGGACCTAGAAGGGTCATTGAAAAGCCTTTTTAGGCTCTAGGGAGACTCAGGCAGAGTCCAGAGAGAAAGAGCAAGGGCTTAGTTACTTTGGGCTTGCCCTGGGCTCAGGAGAAAACAAAAGATATAAGGGAATATCTTACAAGTTTTCTTTTAATTCTCCAATCCTTTCCTCCCCAGGATAGGAAAGAGACTGAGAAAATGCCATATGCCCAAGAGATATACAAGTTACCTGAGTGCAGGAAGGAGAGGAGAAGCCCCAAAACTGAGGTAACCAATGAGGACCCCATCTTTCTAACTATCTCTTTAAGAAAGCCGTTTGGGAGCATGCAGATTGCGAAGGTAGGGAGAACAAATATAGCAGAATTATTCTTCTGCATATAAAGAGGGAAAATAGGGAATGCTTAAAAATCCTCACACAGAACTTGAGTTTAGCTTGAATACAGCAGTAATGATGTACTAAATACTCTTCCTTCACACACAAGGCTTTCCAATCCCCCCACCATTCCTGAGATCCTGGTTCTACTCCAGGTGGAGTGGCCTTACTTGGTGAGCTCATGATCTGAGAGAAGCTGCTTCAGGTGTCTGGAAAGTAACTTTTTTTCCATGGACAGTCGTACCCATGCTCTGGCCTTTCCCACGTCAGTCTTGATTTCCCCAATGTTCTGGATGTGCCTGAAGGGGGAAGAAGAAAAAAGAAGTGGAGAGCGGGGTGGGAAATGAATTCACAACACGCCCCCTGTTAAACTAAAGGAGGCCCAGTGAGGCAGCCCTATCTCACCCTGGGAAAGTCCACCTCTTATTCTCTAAATCTTGGGTTTCCATGTAGCTTTGCCAGGCAGCAGTCTCACCACAATTTTGGGAAGTGGCAAGATAGAGGGGGAACCAAGCTAACCTAAGAGCCTTTAGGCCTTGAGATACTCTGGTTTAATTCTCCAAAAATGTCAGAAAACCCAACTGCTTGTACAGCTCTACAAATGCACCGTGAAGCACAAGACCAATGAGGAGGGCTTTCTAGTTAACTAAAATGCGGCAGAAGCTCAAGTCACTGAGACCCTGCTATTTAAAGCAGATACCTAAGCAGCACCTAAAAACAGGATTTTAATGGCTTATAACGCATGAGCCCACACTGACCTCATATCCTGAATGAGGGAGATTCTCAAGGGAGACATGACTGCGCTGGCATCAGATTTCCTCCGTTCTGAATCAAGAAGTATTCCTAGAACAAACAAGTTTGTCATGTCCAAAGAGATCTGACTATCCAAACAGTTGATTAGCCTTCTTATCTCAAATCACAAATTTCTACAGGGAACAATTACTTTGATAATACCAGGTTTCAGATTTAATACTTACTAGGTTTTAGATTTAATACCTTTACTCATATTATCTCATTTAATTCTCTAACAACTTATAAGATAGCCAAGGAAGATATCACAGAGGGAACTGAAATTCAAAGAAGTTAGCTGATTTGGCCTAGTCACAAGTGGCAAAGTCAGGTCCCCTGGCTCCTAATCCAGCATGTTCTCATCATAATCCATGGAAGTAGTGCTTCTACTTGGAGCTACTACTCTTGTCCTCCTCTTGCTTCAAAATGAGACACAAAAGAGCCAAGGGGATGTTTAAAGAGCATGTTCTAGAATGCTTAGGACCTCTAGATATGATACCTTTATATGCTCATATCTGGCCCAATGTTTAAAACTTAGTATCTTGATCACTTAGCAATAAGTTCTATAGCTTTCCTGAAAAGACTTTTTGCTCTCATATCCAGAAAGTGGGCCAAAAAACTCCTTATTAGGCTACTTAGGGAGCTCTTGTACCTGGTTTTCAGCCACATTCAGTGGTAGTTGAAGTCAACTAGTTCAAAGGCAAAGACAACAGAGTTCATAGGTATCTTTTCACTCCCATCTAAACTGATCTTTACCATCAGGATATGAACATCCAAGAGAGGTAAACGAACTCCCTGGCAGAGAGAGGAGAATGAAGGATGGTGTAAAGGGGGAGATGCTGCCAAGAAACAAAGGAAGGAGGGGAACTGTCCTGGCAGGAACACTTTAGAATGGCATAAAGAACACCAGAGCAGGAGACAAAAGGTCAGGTTCCTAATCTCTTCTACCGATTCACTATGTGATCTTGAGTGAATTCTCTTCTTCCCTGGATCCCATTTTCTCTTATTCTAAAATAAGAAGGCTGAACTAGATGATCTCTGGGGTTCCTGCCAATTCTGATATTTTTATCAAATTAGAAACAGGAAAAAATGTGTAAGGGATTATTCACACCAGACCTTAATGTAGGACATTGACAAACAGGCTCTCTTAACTGATAGATCATTTTAATGCCCATCTCAGAGAAATAAAACAAAGACTCTGAAAACAGCTTGCTCCAAACACATCGGTACCACCCAAATTCATTTAAAACCTAAACTCAGAAGTCTAAGACTGGCATCTTGCTGATATGTCTTCCATCTCACTGATCAAAAGGGTATATAATGAAAGCAAACCCCATGGCTATGGCATGCATGCTTTGTGGTTCAAAGAGCCCAGTGGCTTAATATGTTAAAGAGAAAACATTATGGAGCAAAGGCTTCATTGACCTGGAATAGTCTGCTGCAGATGATCACTCCAGTGGGGAATGGGAAAGTGGGTAGAGGGAGTTCTCTCTAAAGGTGCAGAGACCATCTTACCTGAGGTACTGAAACTTCCTGATGTGAGTTTTCTCTGTCGGTTTTCCTGATAATGTAACAGGTGGGACCACAAGGCTGATTTCCCCTGGAACCAACACAAGGGAAAAATACCTATCAGTTTAGATTTCAGAGGCCAAGGCGTCTAATGAACCAAGTCAGAGATGACTTAAACATATAGATATGGGCTTTTATTAAAAAGCACCTACACAGCAGGTCCTCAAACAACATTGTTTTGTTCAACATTGTTTCCTTGTAATGTTGATGAGATGCCACGGAAACTTAATTTTCGTTTATAACAATTAGCCTATGGTAAAACTGGTATCGTTATATATCTTTTAAAGTTACAGAATCTATCAATGATGTTAAGTGAGGACTTACTGTACTATTTCTTACCTCAATGTACACTTAAGTGCAAAGTATACAAATATATCTCCCTACTAAAATCCAGGAGAAATATAAAGAAAAGAGAAATAGACCCCCACTGGGAATAAGTAAAAATGGCCAAAAAGAGATGTGAACAGATCAATAGATAAGAAAGAAAAAAGTGACTTCTCAAACAAGACTGAAATAAATTACTTCAATCTTAAAAAAATAAATAAATAATAAAAAAAGCGAATAACCTATCAACCTCTAAATGGTTTATTGGTTGAAAATCAGTTTGGGTACAGCATGATGACTCTTGCACAGAGGAGCTGATATCCAGTCTACAAGATTCTATGAGAGCTCCTGAAATCCCTAAAATTTTTAAAGGCATTCCATTCTTGCCCTTAGTGCAGGCTTGGGAGAAATCCACTATGATGAGGATTTATTGAAGTTACAGTTGAAGAAACCTGCAGAAGAGTAGGCTGGTACTTAACTGTAAGGCTGAGATATTATAGTCAATATAACAGACGCTTAGCATTTGGATCTATAAGAGTTACAGTTTAAACTATTTGATACATGTAGTAATTTGTCATTTTACCAAGGCACAAATCTGAATAGCATTTGCAAGCCTGATATAAGGGAGCAATTTACCTAGATAGTGGGTGAGCCCAGCTGGCCACCTAGAAACCGCTTTGTCTCTTTCTAGTCATCCTTCAGTATAGCAACCCTTGTTATGTGATAAAAATTTTATTTCAGATTCGTGGTAAATGTTCCCATATAGTTGATACAAGTATAATATAATGTTTGTTTTAGTAGTGGGATTTACTATAATAATTTTATAAATGACTGTAGTTTTGTATTTTATTAAAGTAATAGTAATGATGACAGAACCTATCACATCTTGCTTGAAGTTTGCTATCAACAAAGTTAAATGTTTAAAACACAATATTTTATTTAGTGCTTCCAACAATCCTATAAGGTAGGATCCTCATTTTCTTTAGAAAAGAGCAAAGTGAAGATCAGAAAGATTAAGTAACTTGTAGAAGATCACAAAGCTTGTAAGTAGAGTGTTGAGATTCAAGTTTACATCTGTCTAATGCCAAAAACACTGCTCTTAAAGATGATACTATACAGACTGCTTCTGAAAGAGATCATTTAACTTTGAAAGCTACACTTTCTAAAGATTTTATGCTCTGCAGTGAATGTGAAGATTTAAGGGCTCAAGATTTTTCCCTTGAGAATGTCAAGGATCTATTTTGTTTCTATCCACCAACTTGATCCATTTTGGAGAAAAAAAAAAAATCCATTTTGGAGAATTTGAATGGGAAAAAACCCTCGTCTACACATTAACAAGCTGTTGACATAAACTTGCTGTATGTTTGGATTTCCCACAATATTTAACCAGCTTAAAAAAAAAAACCAACAACAACTTCAATGGCAATTTTTTTAAACACAAATTAAAACTAAAGAAAACTACTTTTTATTCACTGAAATACCAAATATTTGAAAAAATAGATGTTTGACAAAATCAATGAGACATCTATACATTGTTACTAACTGGTATACTAATACAATATATGCAGAAGATGATATGAAAGCTTAAAATATTCATGCTCTTAGAGATAGTAGTTCAATTTCTAGAAATCTATTCAGTCATCCATTTATCAAAACCATTAGAGTAGGCTCCTAAAAGGGCAAGGATTTTGATTTATTCATTACTGTATCCTAGCATGTAGGCAGACTAGGAAGGCAGCCTCCCTTAATATAACTGTGTGGATGTGACACACACTAAATATAGCTGGTCACCAGAGAGCCCTCACATGCCATGACGCTGAAGAGCCAAAGGCAACAGCAAAGCCAGGCCACTGTGCCAGGACACCCTGGCTCACAGTGATTGTGCCAGTCAAGGAGGGAGGGCAAGGGCAAAAATGAGAGAGCAGCAGCTGGGCTGAAGCTCAATGACAGAGGACTGGGGTCTTTCTAGTTCAGGAGACATAGATTATTCTCTTTCCTCTTTTGCAAAGGGACTGATAGAGACTGCAAAGTTTAATATAGCCTGACTACCCATCTGGGGATGTGGCCACACAATATACAGATAAAAAATACTATCAAATTCTTCATGAATCTCAGGATGTGCATGAAAGGTGAGAAACAACTCCTTTTCACTTACCAGTCCCCAAAAGGCAACAATTACAAAACTATTATGAAAAACCAAACTTCACCTCTTATTGTCAGAAAAATATACTAGAGTAGGACACCCATCTCCTTGGACTACGTCATCGAAAGCCAGAGAGAGTAGTGAGGATAACAGAGGTTCTTATGAGGACTTGCTACAGGCAGCCCAGCACACAGACAGCCATGGTTAATAATTTTTAGGAGGCTAGCAGCAAAAACTGCTGTTTGGGTTCTCCTTACTTTTTAAGTAATAAAAATGGGTATTTGATCATTAAGGTGCCCCCAGAAGAGGGCTTTAAGATCACTCTCTGAGAGTGAATTAGGCCACAATCTGTGCATGATCATGCACCAAATGCATGAAGGAGACCAGGTAATCAGGCTATAACCTTTGAACTGGAACATAACTGAAGAATGTCTCAGCAGGAGAAAGGTGCTCTACACACAGGCTAGTAAAATGGAGCCCTAAGGAACATGCTTGTAGGATCTCAACATAGGGTCAATCCCCAGCTGAATATGTGTCTCTGAGAGCATAAATGCCCTGCCAACAAGCACAGGCCCTCACCTCCCCCTGGTGACACAGTCAGTACTTCACTTTTAGCACTCCAGAAGCAGGATGCAGAACAAAATGGAACCTCAACTGAAAAGCCCCCATTATTTTGTACTGGTTTCTCACCAAACAAGTAGCCTCTGTCTATCCAAACTCAGAAGAGAATCAAACGGACTCCAAAAGAAATTCCCCATGCTGTGGTAATTCTTGCAGAATATGGCTGCAAGGCCTTAGAAGACAGGTTTAGAATACATGATGATATATGCATTTTTAAATGCCGACAGATTTTTATGGCAAATATTAAAAACTTTTGGGTGCATGTATTTTACCAAAAAGCTGAAAGAGCTCAACTATAGTGCTGGGCTTGCTAAAGTTTAAGGAAAATTATAAAATGATTATATATATTCTATTTGTCTGTTATAGATAACAGGAAATAGAAATCCTTCATGTAGACCCTGGCATAATACAGCTGTCATATGTTATATACCCACCACATGCCAGGTACCTATTTTTATTTCATATAATTATCATAACAACCCTAAACAGTAAGTTTTATTAACTCTGTATTACAAATAAGGAAGATAAGACGCAAAAATCACAAATCACTTGAAGTCACCCAATGGAGCTAGGATTCAAATCTAAGTCTTTCTAATTCCGAAGCCCACAGTGTTACTACTGCACCACGGGGCTCTGAAAATTTTAGGAATGTGATATACAATTTTTAACATTTTAAAAAAAATCTATAATCACAGTGTTGTTTATAATACTGAAAAATCAGAAATAACCTAAATGACCAACAATAAGGGATTGATTCAAGTATGGCACATCTATACAATGATACAGTAATTAAAACTGAGATTTTAGAATAATAATAATCACAAACATTTATAGAGAACTTCCCAGATACCAGGCTCTGAGCTTAGTGCTTTACATGAATTATCTTTTCAAATCCTCACAAGAATCCTATGAAGGTGGGTACTTCTAAAATTCCATCACACATATGAGAAAACAGAACCTTAGAGAAGCTAAGTACCTGGCTCATTTTCATAAAATTAAGTGGGAATCAAACCCAAGTCTATCTGATTTATAATCTGAGCTCTTAAACACTTCTTATACTATCACCTAAAATTAGTTGAGGACATGGAAAAAATATTTATGAGACAGGAAAAGCAAATTACAAAACATTATGTACAGTATGATCTCATCTAGATTTTTAAAAAAGTTTTATTGAAATATAATTCACATTACCATAAAATTCACACTTATAAAGTATATAATTTTCTGCACTAAAAAAATCTGGTTTTGATTATATTCACAGAATAGTGAATATAATATTATATTCACAGAGTAGTACAACCATTACCACTACCTACATTTAGAACATTTTCATCACCGCGGAAAGAAACTCCATATCCATCAGCAGTTACTCCCTATTTCTCCCTCCTGCCTCTAGCAACTTTTAATCTACTTTCTGTCTATGGATTTGTCTATTCTGGACATTTTATTTAAATTGGATCATACAATAGGTGGGTTTTGTGACTGGTTTCTTTTACTTAGTATGTTTCAAAAGTTTATCCATGTTGTACCATGTATCCATACTTTATTCCTCTATTGCTAAATAATTTTCCATTGTATGGATATACCACATTTACTTCATATATCCATCAGCTGATGGACATTTGGATTATTCCGCTTTTGGTCTACTAAGAATAATGCTGCTATGAACATTTATGTATATGCTTTGTTTTTGTTTTTACATATGTTTCCATTTCTCTTGAGTACATAGCTAGAAGTAAACTTGCTTGGTCATATTATAACATTTCATTTAACATTTCAAGGAACTGCCAGACTGTTTTCCAAAGTGGCTGCACCATTCTACATTGCCACTAACAATGTATGAAGGTTCCAATTTCTCCAGATCCTCACTAATACTTGTCATTGTCTGTCTTTTTTTAGTTATCCTAGTGTATGTGTAAAGTTATCTCGTTGTGGTTCTGTTTGATTTTTAAATGTACAATTAATTGTACATGAGTATAAGTACAAAGAAAAATGCCTTAAAGGACAGACATGGTAAACTGTCTCCACCCTCACAGAGAATGGAAACTTCAAAAGGGCAGAGATCTTGATCTGTTTTCTTCACTAAGGTATCTCAAAAGTACCTATAATAGTATCTGGCACACTGTAGGCCCTCAATAACTATTTTTTGGATACTGCTAAGTGTTTTCTAAATTGTTTATAATAAAATTGCTTTGAAAACATTTCAAGTTCTTTTCAAATTTAAAAATGCATAAAAATAAAAAGTTGATCACCGTGACTAACTATTCATAGTAGAATATTCTGAAATAAGGAAAATTCTGTGTATTAAAGCAGTTAAAATCAAACTTACTCAACTTCCTGCAGTCTTCTCTCAAATCTTTAGATGGTTAAGCTATCTGCATATAAAGGAGATGTTAATGATAGACCTTTATCCACTGGGATAGTGAAGGACCCTTAGAGTATATTTGGTATTTCTGAGCTCCAAGTTTTCTCTTTCTTTGTGTTCCATCTCCAGACTAGGGCCAGCTGTCAAACAGGATCTATCAGTCTGGCCTTCAGCAATATTTCCAGGATGGAAGATGCCACTTTTAAAATGTCTGACAAACACACACATTTATGAAACCTATTTTTAAAGAAAATAGTTTGAATCATATTTATTTAATTATTTGCTTAGCTATTTCAAGTCTCACTCCATGCACACCGTGCACTTTCTTCCAAGCCAGCCAGTTGGAAGAGTATGGGAAAGCTAGTAAGTGAAAACAGAAAGACAGTTTGCTCAGCAAGGAGAGGCTAGACATTCTTTACCTGTTTTACTTGTAGCCCATGACTCCAGATCCTTTCCAGGAGGTCACAAAGGCTGGCAATCAAGGTGTTCTCTTCCACCCCTGTGATGTTGACCTCCCCGTGCCCTAGCTCCACAGCCTCTCTGCCCATCTTCTCCACCAGCATCCTCTTGGTCTACAAGGAGTCATTTGGTAGGATTAGATAATCACAGTGAGCAGGATCATGTGCAACTGGAGAGGGTTGTGGCCACCTGCACAGCACATCTGCTAGGCTGGGAACATAAGATGAGTACAACCCAGAGACATAGAGCGTATTTATTCTCCACCAGGCAGGCCAGGTTATGATGGAATGCATTCTTTAAAAGTTTAGTAAAGAAGATAAGAACACAGTAATCACTGTATAACCCTGGGCAAGTGATTTCATCACTCTGGATTCAGTTTTTGCATTTATGAGATGAAAAGAGTTGAATTGAACCCTCTGGTCATGCTAACTTCTGACATTCTCTGATTCTACTTAACTGACCCTATTCAACAAATCTTCAAGCATTTAATCCTAGAAATGTATCTGAAGTACCTGTCAAGGGAATAAAAAACTGAGGAGGAATAATTTACTTTTAGGTAAAAATTTTCAAATGCTTATTGTAACAGAAAAACAAAAACACGCACTGTATAATGATAAACACAGCTCTTACTACTATGTGTCAGGCACTGTATTAAGCATTGCGTTATCTCATTTAAGCCTCCTAATGACTCTGAGATAAGTATTATTGCTGTTCCCAATTTATTGATAAGAAAATTAAGGTCTCAATTTACTGATTAAAAAAAAAAAAGTAACTTGTCAAAATCACATAACAAAGAAGTAGCACATCTGGCCTTTGAACCTAAATCTGCCCAAGTTCAAGTTCTTAAGTAAGATTTATTCATGTTATAAATTTGTGACATAAAAATCTAAAGAGCAAAGGTAAAAATCACCACTGATATTAACTTTCAGAAGCAACAACTCTTAACACTTTGGCTTATTTCTTTCCAGTGTTACTACTTAAAATGTTTTTATTGTGAAATATCTCGTGTGTGTGTATATATATATAGATATATACACCCACATTATTATACTATTGTAACCATCACTCAGGTTAAGAAATAAAATGTTGCCCATGTATACCTTTGAAGCACCTCACATGCCCTCCAATCATCTTGCCACTCTAAAAGTGACCAGTATCCTGATTTATACAATAAAAGTACAGAAAAGCAAAGAAATAATTATCAACTATATTTGCATTCCTAAACAGCATAGTTTACTTTTGCCAGTATGTTTTCTTTTGTGATTTGCTTTTTCACTCAACTTCTTTTTGTTTGTGAAATTCATCCACATTAATGGGTATTGCTGTTGTCTATTTCCACCACTGTATAGAGCACTGCACCATAAAAATATACTACAATTTACTTATTGATTCTCCTACTGATTGGCATTTGGGTTGTTTCCAGTTTATGGCTATTATAAAGAATGCTACTGTAAACTTGCTATATACATCTCCTGGGTCATGCAGCAAAGGTTTCTCTAGGGAATATATCAAGGAGAAGAATGACAGATAACAACATGCTGTTTTCCAAAGTGGTCACAACAATTTATATCTCCAGCAGTGTGAGAGTTCCTGTTGCTTGCTCTATGTGCTAGCCAACACTTAGTGGTGTTAGACCAATTACTGTATTTCTTTAATTCTAAGATGTACATTTTTCCATATAGTAACATCTCTGAAACTGGGATGTATTTTGCAGTTATTGTTGACCAGGCAATGCACATAAGGAAGTTGTAACTGACTGGGCTTGCACCTCAAAACCTGAGAATGAATGCCAGCGTCTTGGAAAACAAATCTCAGAGATAATAGAAAAGCCCTCTTTCATGAAAGGCAGCATCACCAATGTTCTTGACAGAGGAAAAACAACACTGTGTGGAAATCACAGATATCAATGGCTCAGAGTGAACTGACAGCAGCTGTTTAAAAAAAATCTGAATACAAAATATCAGTATTACTATATCAATTTAACTTGCAACAGTAATCATTTCTTCAACAAGAGAAAGTATATTTTATTTCATCCTATATATGACTACCACTTGCAAATTGAAAATGCAGGAAAATTTTTTCTTATTGACAAATAAACAGAAGATTACAGTAGAGACTGAGTTGAATTGTCCTAAGAAGTATGGTTTACTGACTTGGTTGAAAGGATACATTTTTATGAAACATTATACATCTCATTATATTAATGAAAATTTTAAAACCAAGAAATTACATTCATAACTAAAACATTAAAAATTAAGAATGACTGTCTTGTGATTCAGCAATCATTTTTCTGAGTATATATCTGAAAAAATTGAAATGAGAATCTCAAAGAGATACCTATACCCCATGTTCACTGCAGCATTATTCACAATAACCAAGATATGGAAACAACCCAAGTGTCTATCAACAGATGAATGGGTAAATAAGAGGGTATATCAACATATACAATGGAATATTATTCAACCTTAAAAAAGGAAATTCTGACATTTGCTGCAACATGGATGAACCTAGAGGACATTATGCTAAGTGAAATAAGCCAGTCACAGAAGTACAAATAATGCATGATCCCGTGTATTTGAGGCATCTAAAATAGACTCACAAAAGCAGGGAATAGAATGTTGTTTACCAGGAAGAGAGGAAAATAGGGAATTGTTGCTCAGTAGATATGAAGTTTCAGTATGCAAGATAAGCAAGTTCTAGAGATCTGCTATACAACATAATATCTATAATTAACAATACAATATTGTGCACTTTAAAATATGTTAAGAGGATAGAGCTCATGTTAAGTGTTCTCACCACAAAAACAAACAGAACCCACAAAAGAACATAAAGTTTTTGGAAGTGACTGATATGTTTAGCATCTTGATTATGGTAATAGAATAATGGGTAAATGTATATGTCCACACTCATCAAGATGTATATGTTAAATGTGTGCAATTTTTATATCAAGTATATCTCAGTAAAGCTTTGTAAAAAATGACTGTCTTTGTAGAACTGAGAAAAACATCCCAACAACAAGCTTAAACTGAATAACACACTTTGGCCTGACACATAGTAGGCACTCAATAAATTCTTGTTTCTAGGCATATATAATCACTGCTATCAAATTAAAATAGAGGCAAAAATATTTTTATATGTGTAAGACTAATCTGGTGAAGACAATTCAACTACAATGATTTCAAGTAATGTAAGATGTCTAAAAACAAAAACAACATCCATTTCTTAGTTTCAAAGAATACATATTAAGTTTATATCAAGCAAAGTTGCTTGCTCTTGATTAATGGTTTCTTTTATTTGAAATAAATACACTTAATTCCAAATTAACAGGATTTTATAATTAGTACTATCTCATTATGTTAACAATATTTTTAAAACCAAGAAAGAATGGTCAGAGCCAAGGCTTGGTCTCACCTTGGCTGCCAAGGAACTCACACACATACAGAGGCGTCCATAGCTCACCTT